CCCACCCCGCTACATACCACTTCAAATATCTTAGCGGCTCCACACCTCCCGAGCCGCCAACATATTTGACAACCTCCATACGTCAGCTCACGCACACAAGCATCGTATCGCTCCACGGATTTTGTTATCGAACGTTTTATGCGATTTCTATCTTTAAGGTGCTACATAAAGTACTTTTTTGAATAACATTAGCGATATCTACTGTAAGACGTTTGCTTGGGAAATAGATAGTGATGGAATAGAGTAACACTGTTTAGTGACGGAATTAGGTTATTGTGATTTTATATAATCGTGGAGCTGCTTCTCCGTAAGGCGTTTACGAATGATGGAATTTAAAACAGCTTTTAAATATAGCTTAAATTACGTATAAAGTAAAAAGATGATAAAGTAAGAAGATGAAAATAATAAAAAAAAACTAATAAACATTTAATCGTGTCTACATGGTTACATGTAAATTTTATTTTATCAAATATGACTTTAATGCGTTTTATTTATACCTTATAAATAATATGGCATTACTGTATTTTTAAAACCTTTTTAAATTTTTGATAATAATCAAAGTTCTAGATACTGTCATTATTTCAGAAAAAATTGCAAAGTCGTATGTTGAAATTGTTCGTATGTTAGCTAAACATACTTCTTTCGAAAATATTTTTTCCTTTTCTATATCGGGTCATATCTTTTAAATATATTGATCTTGTTTCTCCCTTATTTTTAATTTAGTAATATATTTAGAATCAGGATATCTCCAGACCACTGTATCTATTCTATCTAAAGCATATGCCTTTAAAATGTTAGTTTAAATTGTAACATGTAGTTTTTCAGTAATTATCCTCAATTCCACTAATCATTCGTAATCGTCTATCAAAACAACGCAGTATTTCATTGAATTCTAACCAAAGTCTGCAGTTGCAATCGATAGATCCATTATTTTTTTCCCATTGGGTCGATTGATTAAATTATAACGGCCCAATGGGAAAAGCCCATATAGTTTCGGTCGCCGGATGCGAGACGTTTCTAAATATATATGTATGTATGTATAATAAAATAAATCTTGTAGTTTTAGTATTTATTATATACTTTCGACTATAGAAATGTATTAAGATGTTTGAAAGAGCGATATAGATCGCGTTAAATTGTCGAAAATGGTATTTCAAAATGTCGAATGTCTGTCATATTGCGAGTCAATATGATATGAACAGTTCGTTGTTTTATTGCATGCTAATTTTAGTTACAATATCCCAATCCAATAAATATGCGTAAGTTTTTTTAAACCAATAGGCTTAGTTATAATTTATAATGAAATAGCGATGCTACTTTTCAATTCAAAAGTTTAATCTATGTATGTACTTATAAGTTGGAAGCGAATGAAATTTAATGTTTTCAATAAAGACAATTTATTTTAATTGTGGCGTCTAGTGTATTGAGGAAATTCCATTACTACGACCGTATTCTATACGATCGATTTTTTTTAAATAAAATTCGTTTAAAAACGACTATCTCATTTTTACGTGTGATGTTGCGTGTGCGCAGCCTACTCAGTTACTTAGTTTTTACTTTTTATTATATACAATGGCAAATAATAATTTATATTGTAGGTTATGAGGTGTAAAACTAATTTCTTTCATAGTTCGGCTCGGTTGTAACGATACGCGATTCACTTAGTTACCAGTGTCCTTTTTAAAAATAACCTATAGGTCCCTTTATTTAGATTTTTTTTATTCTCTGTATGTTATAGATTATGAAATTATTTGCAAACTAGCTACTGCTGTATTATATTACACTTTTGTATTTGCAAATTTATAATATACAGTATGTGTCAAAAATATTCAATTTCATAAATAAAATTAATTTATAGTTAATTTATTTCGTATATACGAGCGTTGAGATTCTTTTCCAACTAATTTGCTACATCTTTATTAGCTTTTAAATAAATAGTAAATTATTGGTATATTTCAATTTGTAATATTTAAAATTGTGATGCTCTTAAGAAAAATTTTGAAAAAACAGTTATATGGTACGAATTTTGCTTTATATATGTATGTTTTGTACAAGCGTGGAAGGCAACTTGTGAGTGGAAGCCGAGTGCGTTCTCTGCGGTCGTGTGAACCAGTTGCCCGCACAAATGTAACATGCCAAAGTCAATTGAGCTATGAAATGAACGGCTTTCTGTCGCTTGCGTACGCGATGAGTGACAAATATGTGTAATGATGATATAATAAATAATTCTTCAACCTTTCTTTGTTTTTAATTAAAAACCTATATCCTATAAACATTTGATAGAAAAGTCAGTTATGGGTGTATTAGGCGATCGGTCTAATATTCCCTTCAATCATTGTGCCCATCGGCCCAACGGGAAATACCTTATAAGGTTTCCATTTCGTAACTGACAGAGGGTATTAAAATAAAACACAAGTTACAAACACACAAAATAAACTTTAATATTAGTAAAAAAATATCTTCACACTATAAAAATGTACATAAATCAGTCGATCTTTTTAACATTCGCCGTTACAACAAAATGGTAATTCTATCACAGACTTCAAAACAACAATCACTCTTGAACCACTACGATACTGGAATTTAATTATTAAAATATTTCATTTAAGCTTTAAATGTAACAACAGACTATCAAGTTTACTAACATTCCTTATAACAACATATTTTGTGTATTCTATATTATTGTACTTTTAAACCGCCAAATGCTTAACTTATAAAAAGTTATCTTGTCCCGACTCGTTCGTCGGATGATATTAAATCACAAACACACATTTCACCGTTTCGTTATTTCATACATTTTGACATCATCGAAGCCAGACATTATGATTTTGTGCATGTGTTGTACATGTTATATTTTAAACCTAAATATTTCAAAGGAATATAATTTATCACTCCTAGGTGACAATTTAGATTGGCAAGAATTTTAGCATCAGAAATATTGTCAATTGTATTAAAAATAAAAGCAAAGCTATATAAAAATATTAATTGGCATGCCTTAAAACAGCTATATTTACTTAAAAATATAAATAATCTAACATCTTCACATACAAAATATCTGGTCACCAGATAACACAAAATATATACGAAGCATCACATTATTTTAAGAAATCTCTCGAGAGCATTAATTTAATTATTGTCATGCGTAGTCTATGGTAAAACATTATGCTATTTAACATTACATGCTAAGCATACCTAACAATTATATTAAAAAGGGCAGTTACTAAATTAAAAGATATAATATATCTTGTATGAGCCGTAAATAAAATAGAAAAACCCTGACTAAGGTACAAAATCTCTATTTTTCGTCGCGTACAACCGTAAATTTGCTTTCTTGGAATCATGATTTTATTGTTTAGAGTTTAAAACGTATTATTAACTTCACTCTGATTGGCTAAACACATGTGACGTCATCGCCGCCATTTGTCCATTGGTCGTAATTAGTTTTCTTAATTTATATACGACTATCAGCAAATGAGTAAACATTAGAGCCCAAAATATTTAATAGTGCATATGCAATGTTTATACCGTAACAACTGGAACATAACTCAAGAATAAACAAAGAAATCAATTATTTCCACACGCACTCTAATAAATCTCTGCTAAAATTCCCTACATAAAGTTGAGATCAACAACGTCATGAATTTTTCTCGAAAATATTCACCGACACCAAAATAATACACATAAAAGACCAAAGCAGGACGAACACGGCCCAGGCTATGTGAGAAAAGGGACTCTTGTATTTATTAACAACTCCTAGACCTAACAAGTTGGTGCAGTGTCGTCTCGCAGAAACCACTAGGAATGTGGGCATCAGATATTGTATACCAGTTCCCGCGTACGAGCCCGTAAACTTAATAAGAATACCGATATCCTCTAAAAAGTAGGTCAACAAGAGCGGCGGCGCAACAGTTATAATGGGAAACAAAAGTTTTCTCAATATAATATTATACGACTCTAGACGCGTCGTATCCAAAAAGAGACTTTGTAGATTATTTCTAAGGGTTATAGCGATGATTGGAAAGCTAGTGGAGAGTGTGAACACAGGGAAGAGAGCTAAGAAATATTCAACTATTTCTAGAAATATATTTTCATTATCCGTTGGTACGAAATTGAGTGTGTAGAGATCGCTGAGTTTGGCGAAAGCGAACGCTCCGGTGAACGCTAGAAGGAGATAGAAGATGCTGATGAGGGCGTAGTCGAGAGCGAGATGGAGGCCGAGGCGGGACTTGGCGCGGATGGGGCTGATGAGGCCGGGCAGCGAGTGGTGGCACATGAAGGAGTACACGCAGGCTCCGAACAGCGTGGGCATGCCTGTGAAGTCGAAGGCGGGCGGAGTTCCCTGCGGCCCGCGCACACACAGCAGGTATATCGCCATTGATATCATGATCGCGAACGCTGCAAATAAAATTTATCAATAAGGAAAATATGAGTTAAATCGCTTAGATAAAGGAAACCTTCAATATTAAATAACACTATTGTAAACAACGCTCCTGAACGACAAGAAATGATAAATTTCTAGAAAAAATGTAATTTAAGTGTTATATTAACAAATAAAAGATAAAACGTATTAGAATTATCAAAGTTATTTACATTGTAAATTATCAATAATACGATTTATCTGTTTTGAAACGTTTTATTTACAATCTAACACAATCTGAATCAAAGATAACTATTAAAATAACGGAAGAATAAACTAACATCCGTATGTTAGTGTTACAAATACTAAGCATTAGTGAATATACTTGGGTGGGGCTAGAATGCATTAAATAAGGAACTTGTAACCTAGATACAGCCGATATGGCCACACCCATACTTGTATAGATACTTTAGTGTGGTCGAAAACACAACTAAAAACGTGAGATACAAAATTCCATTGTACATATTCTTACAGTAACCCGTTATATGTAAATTAGACAGATTAAAATTTGAAATGTCAAAAAAACTCTTTACTATTTTTTTGACATTTTATTGAAGTATAAGCTACCACAATGTGATGATTTTAATCGTTCTAATGTAACTACAACCTTAGAGTTGAGACATGTTTAAATTGTCTCATGACTTTCTTATAAGAAAAGGTATATTAGAGAAAGTTTGGGAGTACCAGTTGAGAAATAAGGAGTACAAAGTTAGCATGGTATGGGCATGTTATGAGGAATAAATCGCATGTAACAAGAAGGATGTTATTAATGTGGTGGTACACCGGTAGAGGTAGAAGTAGAAAGAGATGGATAGATTACGAGAAAGGTGACATGATCAAAGAGTTATTTGGAGGATGAAAGCTAGTGGAGAGAACACCAAGTTCCACTTACCAAGCCACCTCATGCCTGAAGTAAACAGCTGTAGATACTTGGTCTTCTGTACATCAGAGAAGATGAATGGTCCTGTGACGGCGAAGAATGTCAACAACGCGACTCGGTAGCAGTCGAGGCGGGTGTACGCGTCCGGCGCGGTGGAAGACACGTTGAAACACGGCAATGCGTCCCAATCCGTAGTGTTAGACACATTAGCTGGCACTGTTGAACTAAATAACAATATTTTTATTTAGATATGCAATCTCCGTATTGAGTGCCGAAGGTAGATGCCTGGCTTAGTATTAAATGTACAAATTGTAATATATTTTAAGCTAGTACAAATGCAATTGTAATGATACAATCTTTGTTATTTTCAATAAATTATTTCCATTTCTATTTGCTGTGTAGTGATTTTCTAAGTGGGCAGTCCCGCCAAAAGCTGTGTATCGATCGCAATTGATCGTATGCCATCATATCAAGCCTCCAAAGTATCAAATCGGATCTTGCATCCCCACCCTGGGCCCATAGAACCATCTCCTCCTTTACATTCTCATACTCCGTTGTAGAAAGCTTTAATTTTAGCAAACATTTTACATCAAAATCAGTAAATGCATTTGATTTTGATACCTACTTTACATTATCACGTGATTTATTTAATACTTGAATTTAAAAAAAACCGAAGTAGCCGTGTGTTCTTAAATACTTTCATTAACCCTTTTCTTGGTAGTGTATCTGTAGAGATACATCAATTTTTTTTTCTAAACACTTTAGGTCATCAAGGTTAAGTGCTATGAATATTATTTTGATATTTGAAAAAATAAAATTCTGCCAAGTTAAGGGTTAACATCTATTCCAAATTTCATCAAAGAAAGATCCGTTCTGCCATTTAAGCAGCAAACTCTAACAAACCATCCATCTAAACTTCGCATTTATAATATTAATATGAAATAAGATTGCGAGTGATATTTTATCGATTTTGTCATAGCTCGGTCGCCGCCATCTGACGTCACCACAATGCAGCATTTAGCACTTGTTTAAACATAATGGAAGCTAACAATGTCATAGCATTTAATTGTTTATTTAAAAATAAACACATTGTATAAAATTGAAAATGGTTCATATTTCAATATAAATTTGTATGTAACGTTACGTTAAATGGCCAAAGTGGACAACTCTTATTTAGATTCAATTAAAATAATCCTTGGATTTAAAATTAGTCTTTATAAGAATGGCAACAAGATAAAGGCATTAGTTAATTTTTATTTACAAATGCGAATATCTATGGGCAGCAGTCGCTTCGCTATTTTGCCAAATTCTTGTGGCTACTTGTTTGTCACTTTATATAATACTAGCTGTTCCCATGCGACTTTATCCGCATAAAATTATGAAGATTTTATTTTATTGTTTACATGTATCAAATTATCAATAGCAAATGTCAAAATGTCATGACATGACAAACCTTGACAATCTTGCTTCCTTGATTTTAGCAGCAACTTGTGGTCTCTTTCCCACATTAGGATTTTATCCAAAATATTTACCCCCTAAGTTTAATGGCGTGAAAACATATAGCCTAAAGCGTGACGTAAGTGTAGGGCTTTTTTTTAAAAAAAAGAATTAGTCAAAAAATGCTGTAATTGCTGACATCTTAGGCAACAAAGATGTGTGTGTTTACGCTTTATTATAATAGTATAGAAAAAGCAAATAATTGTTTAATTTGTGGTTTCACTATTAATTACAGTTAAGTTACAGTATGTTCCGACACATTTTATAAAGCGGAAAACACGTACACATATAACTTGGTCCCGCATATTAAACAATCTTTTTTCGGAACTTCCTTAGCATAATAAAAGAACCGTTACTTTTTATTCCATTTATACTTCTATACTAATAAAGAAGAAAGATTTGGATTTTTGTATGTATTGAAATAACTCAAAAATTACTGGGTCAATTTCAAATATTCTTTGGCCATTAAAAAACCAAGTTATCAGTGAGTAGAATAGGCTAGCCTATATTTTGTATTACTATTTTTATTTCACAGGATCAAGTCGCGAGCAAAAGGCTAGTAACATAATTTGACCATTCCTTAGTCTAATGACTTAATATTTGTTTTAATATGTGTAAATACAGATATTTCCGTAATTTATTTACGTAAATAAACACGTGTGTTAAGAAACTCACGTAATGCTGAAACTGCATTAAGTTTTCTTAAGTTAATCATTAAGTAGAGTAGTCTTTCTAACATAGACATTAAAATAAGTTACATGGTTTGGAGTAATAAAATTAAAAAACAATATCGTAAATAGAAAGACAAAACAAAAAATCAGCATTATTTTAAAAACAAAATGGGCATAATTATTTGTGTCATATTATAATTCTTGTTATATTAAATAATACACTTACTTGTGCAATAATTTAACAGTACCCAAATTCAATTATAATTACATTAAGATTGATTAATATAAATGAACTAGCTTTCGCCCGCGACTCCGTCCGCGTGAATTAAAAAAACAAAAGTGAGTAGCCTATGTGTTCTTCCAGACTATTCCCTATTTCTATGCCAAATTTCATTGAAATCCGTTCATCCGTTTAGGCTACAAACTCTAACAAACATCCATCCATCAAAACTTTCGCATTTATAATATTAGTATGATATGATTATAATACAACTTACCATACAATATCCATCATAGATTTGGCTACAGCTGCTGAATATATTGAAAGATCTCCATATAAATACACACACAAAGTGCAGTAAAACATTGTGCGTCCACCTTTATTTAGGAATAGGTTTGCCATTTCTCCCAGTTCCACTCTTTTATCCAGACTGTAATATCTGGAGGGTATTGAGTCACCGCACACAAGAGGGTCCTCCAGCTCACCGTAGTGATGCTGCGAGGAACTCGGCTCTTCATCTGATTCATGCTCTTGAATCTGTACAAAAAGAAAATGTATAAAGTTAACTATAGTATTCATAATAAAGTTACTTTTTCCCTTGTTGCGTTACATTCATTTTGTTTAAAACTAGTAATTGTTATGGAAATTGTAAAAAATGATATAACTGTTGGAACTCATATTTAATATGGTAACTATACTATATAACAATGTTTGAACAGCTTTATTTGTATTGTATCCTTCCAGAAACATCTAGACTATTATAATAAAGCCTAAACACACACTTCTTTGTTGCCTAAGATGTCGGCAATTACAGCACATTTTTTAATAATTCCTTTTTTAATAAAAAAAACCCTACACTTATGTCATGCTTTAGGCTATATATTTTCACGCCATTAAACTTAGGGGTTAATTTTTTGGATAAAAACCCTAATGTGGGAAAGCGACCATAAGTTGCTGCCAACATCAAGAAAGAAAGATTGCTAAGGTTTGTCATATCATGCCATGTCATTTTGACATTTACTATTGATAATTTGACAAATGTAAACAATAAAATAAAATTTTCATAAATTCATGCGGATGAAGCCACACGGGAACATCTAGTTATTTATAAATACAAATACAAACATTTTAATGGTAAAAGTTTTTTACAGGACAAAATGTTATTTTTTTTCAGGTATTCTGAATGGAAATGTATACATGAAGAAATCATTATGGCAGTAAAAAAATCCTCCACACTATAGAGGACTTTCTTGACTAGCCAGGACTTAAGTTTATTTTTAAATGATGCTAGGCTAGTAGCTGCTGAGAATAAGATATCAAATTAGAAAATAAGAAACAAATATGTTACTATGTTTTACTTACACTATTCCTTTTAATGAATTGTAATCTTTTCCATTTGAAAACTGCATTAGCACATGCCAAAGTCTCTATAACATATGTTGCATTCATAAAACTCATGAATGCAAGAAAGAGAAGAGATATAGTGCTGAGTCCCCATCCCGCTCTAGCAAATGCAGCGGGTAGTGTGAGAGCTCCGGTGCCCACAATTAAATTAAATATATAAATCAAACCCACCTGCAAAATTAAGTTTTGTAAATTGAAAACACTGTACAAATTATTAAAAAGTACTGTTTTTAAATATTAGTTCCTAATTACAAGTGGATGGATGGATGTTAGAGAGTGTAGCCTAAACTGCTGAATGGATCTTAATGAAATTTAGCATAGATAGATAGCATAGTCTGGAAAAACACATAGGCCACTTTTGTTTTTTATTTTAATTCCACACAGAGAGTTGCAGGCAAAAACTAGTACTAAATATTTGTGCAAGTTTGGATGGATGTTTGTAAGAAGATATCTCCAGAATGACAACATGAATCTGAATGAAATTTTTTATAGATAACACTGAAATAACAAATAGATAATCAATAAGTGCATTTATGAATATTGTATTGATAGACACAGGCAAAGGTAGTTTTTTTACATTCTTGAAAACAATCTTTTACATCTAGGAATATGGTTCCTAAAATAATGGACAAGTTTTAATGAAATTGGTAGGGTATTCTCAGGATGTCAACAAAGTTTTGATTCTTGTATTTATTTTTTGATAAAAATGCTTTCATACCTTTCTAGACCTACTTGTATTTAATCAAATTGGGATCCACCCCCTTTTTGAATACAAAGAAAATGTTGCATTCGAATATGAAAAGACAAAGAAACAAACTCATTAAGTCTTCAAACTATCTACACAAAATATAGCCAGATTTTAATGGTGTAAAAGTGTTCAACTATTATATTAAGATGTACCTTATGGTAACATTTAAATAATACTTACCCAAACAGAATATTGATCCCCAGTCTCGGTTATAGGCATTCTAAACAATCTTCTTACACCTAGTAATCGACGTAACATCTCAGGTCTTGATAATTAATCATATCCTCTCGATATACAGTACAAAAATGCATGGAAATCCACAGATCGCACGTTATTTATTGATGATAACGGATGTTCAACTTAAGCTAATTTTGATCGATAAATTCACTCTTATTGGTTGAATTCAAGTTGAATTGAAAATTGAATTGTGATTGTGACAAATGTCAAACGTGAATGTCAATCTAGTTTTTTTTACAACCGCAAGTCCTATACGTCACACGTACATATAATCATTGAGCCACTCATAATTTATCAAAGAATTTTGAAATCTTTATTGGAAAAATAGTAATATTTTCAACTTTCATTTTAGTTGAAAAGCAAATAAAATCCTTACCAAACATAAAACGTTTAATTAAATTCTCCAGATCCAATCTTCAAGAGACACAAGATGCGGAACTATCTCCATATTGGTCTGAAAACTCATCTTCGTTTTTTATATAATACTATCTGAACCTGGCATATGCTGCAAAATAAAGATATATCAAAACATTATACAATTTTGATTACATAGATTTATTACCCGAAATCCTCGCTGATCATCTCCGATCCCCTATCGTGGTTTAATTGGTCTTACCGCTACAATATTGCCCGGCTCACAAGAGAATAAGATTTCATTAGTACAAATAAGAATATTTATATATATGTATGTTAGTTTGTAAGTGAGTTCTATTTATGAATTGGATAATAATAGAATAACTTAAAATCATGCGTTGTTTAATTAAACTACAATCCACTGTTATCTTTTTTAACACCGTTTATCTTACTTTTTTGTATGAAAATAAATGTGTATAGGCATTGCACTTTTTTATGTTTTTATTGACTCCTTTTGGCCAAAATATCAACTATATGATAAGTAAAGTGAAATATTGTGAAAAGGATTTTTTTATTGTAATCGCAATTATTAGAGTTAATGCATTAAAGCGATTTTGATAGGTAGAAATACTAAAATAGCTCACATTTAAAACATGTTTTATAAATTCATGTTTAAGCACTCTTATGCTCAAACATGTAACATCCAAATTGATAAACTCATTATTGCAATATGGGTTGTTGCAAAGCGTTTAAATTTTTCAAGCACGTCGTAGCATTACATCAAAAAACATAACTTGAGCCGTATTTATACAGTTAACTTATTACCTATAGCGAATACTTATTGGTATGGCGTATGAGTACGGTATTAAATGTGCCTATACTACATTCAATACTAACTTATGTATAGTAAATTGCTATAACCCGACTATATTGAAAAGTCACATTTGTCCATATTCTGTGATGAAATGTTCGACCATCTTGATTTAGTATAGTTTCGTAACACTTCGTGAGAACCCCGACGACGAAATCATTCCATCCAGCCGTCGAAGCCGTGTTCTCGGGGGTTTGGGATTGTGATTTTGTATAAATCTATGTAGTTATTGTGCCAACAACTATACAAAACGAAGGTATGAACATGTATTTCATATTTTTCCCAAAGCACTTCCCAAAACCTTTGTCAATCATATTTAGCATTTATGGCATCGCTTTCTCAGGCGTAAGTTTTGTCTCCCTCTAACACGCTGTACGTCACCATCGCATTTATTTTCCTTCCTTCTCTATCTAGTAATATAACACCGTTGTGCTCGATCGTGTCACGTAAGATTTTTGTATTTTCTCTAGCACAAATTATATATTTCACTTAAATTTTGAGTTTTATATGAAGTATTAACGTAAATGTTCAAGTTGGTGTATTGTGCTTGATAGCAAACGCTTAATTTGGTTGATAATAGGTCGTGTTAACTTTCACTCTAAGTATAGATAGGTATTGTAGATAAATATACGTAGCACAGATATATGTATATTGAGTCTGTAGATATTCAACATCGAGTCTCAAGGCCGAAATACACAAATACTAATGTAATACCTATACGTACCTGCTCTTCGAAGAATAATTCTACAATTCCAATAGAATTTTAAGGTACCAAATACATAGAATCATAATGGAGTTCAAATACGTCCTTCAAATGTGATTTCGACGGACATAAAGAGGCAAAGTCGTGAAACTTCACTTAGATTCCAATGGTTATTGCATTTCAAGATACACTGTTATCGCATCTGTAAACGACGCAATTTCATGTCAGTTTTATAATTATACGTGCCACTTGGCAACAACACCTCATGCAGACTTATAAACATGTACTATGATGGAGCACTAAAGAATAACCTCAAAATAAGCTTTTGCTATCTGTGATAATTTCGATTGATGGAATTATGATCAACCGCGGCGGGTTAATGTGCAATTTGTGAAGTGTAAACGTTAAAATGGTGTCACTTTTGTTAATGCAGATAAACTAAAACATCACGAGCTATCTGCTAAGCTGCTCCAAAGGATCTGCCGAGCCCGCATTATCTGTGATATACAGCTCAGCCTCTCGTCCGTCCTATAAGGTAGGTTTTTAATTTTCTTACTGGAATATTTTTAATGACTTAAGCTGAATCTAGTGAAATGTTGCCACAATGTATCTAATTAGTGTCTTTATATAACAATTTTAGATTTTTATATTGTAACTACTCTATTAGAAATGTAGAAAATGTTATTTTGGCGGACATTTGTTTATGTAGAGTAATTTGTTGTGTTGTAGGGCTGGGCCAATTGGGGCAAGGAGGCGTATCCGCAGCAGCTAAGCGGTGATCTCACCCTGCCCTCTGCCATAGAGGCATTAAACACTGCTACCTGCTTTTTGACTGCATCACTACGAACCATTGTTACTTAGTCTTTAATCGAAACAATATGCAATCTGTGAAAATAAGTATAATTCTAGGTGGATATTGTAGAAAATTATTCTATTTATAAATAATTGTCTGATGTCTAATGTTTCTGTAATATTATGTGTTCCACATTTAATTAAGGATAATTGTTACTCCAATATTGATACTGTTACCGAACCAATGCAATGTAAAAACTCCACCTCAATGTTGGTGGTGAACACAAATAAATTTGGTGCTTGTAAGCGAGTCGAAGAGAATGAAAGTCAGCAAGTTAGTGTAAAAATGGTAGATAATAATATTTATAATGTAGAATTTGTTGATAGTATCCAACAAAACCAAATGATTGGCGATATGCCTAACTACTGCATTCCTTTAACGATTAACGCCATAACAGTCCAGGGTATCTCATACAGTGACCCGTATTTCAGTAGCTTTAACTTAAAATATAAGATGGCGTTGGGAGCGCCAGAATATATGAACAAGTCTGATTACGCTTTTAAATCCTCAGTTTGTATTATACATGAACCTTGCTTCGATAAGACGCAATTACTTAACGAAAAGTCTTTTCGTGTAAGCAAAACGAAAACTCGAATGATTACTTGTGACAACAAGTCTGTTGAAATAAACCATGACAATAATACATCGAAAGTTGATGGTCAATCTACTTCGAAGCGAGCAATGAGAACATTTGCGAATGGTGATCTCACATTTGATGCGATGCTAGAACTAGTGGACAGGGAGCAAAGGATCATAACTGATTTGAAGAGAAGTCACCAAGTTGATTCATGGGGGGTTCCTCGACGTTTCCGACTGTGCGGTGGTGGGGAAAGCTCTTTGAATGCAGCAGCTGGATGGGGCAGTCCACCTTCTTCTAACAATGGTAAGATATTTTTTATTTTACAATCTTACTGATATTATAAATGCGAAAGTTTAGATGGATGGTTGGATGGATGAATGTTTGTTAGAGATTGTAGTGTAAATGGTTAAACGGATTCCTATGATATTTGGTTTAGATGTAGAGGAAAGAAATGTGAATAACAATTTGTACATTTGCTACAAAACACATTGTAAGTATGTTTTTTTTAAAAATACATATCCATGAAAATCAACAGATGTTACAAAATAAAGTATGGCAAATACTGTATTTAAATATAATTCAAACAACATTGTACTTTGTTTTACTTTTGCTTTTTTTATTTATTATCTGAAAAAAATATATTTGTTTTAAAAACATTAATACTATCTTATTACATGAATATCTAAATTTTATCTGATGTATAAACAAGCTTGACAAAGTGGATCTGAAGTTATAAGATTTTTGTATTCAAAACAATGAATTTCTACTCTATAAAATTATTATCTTTTAATTGTTATCATTTATAGTAGGAAGTTTTAAATTTGACTAAAACTAAGATTAAATTAACCTTAAACCATGATATAATTTGTTTATCTTTGTTTCTTTTTAATTCTGATACTAAATAAAATGTTAATAACTATGAGGGTATTGTCTGTCCCATCTCTAGCTGGCAATTGGGGTGGTAATTCCAGTGGCCAAACAAATAATGGGACAAACAACACCCAGCAATGGAACAACACTGGGCAACGGCCGCCTACATCACAAGCTGATTGTAAGATTTCATTTAATATTGGTATCAATTAAAAATTATGAGGACTATGTTTTTATGCTGCTTATTCTTTTATAGTAAACAGCAACAAGGGTAATGGCAATCAAATGCCACCTACCAATGTATCTACAAGCCAAGGTTGGCAGAATTCTGGCCCAAATATGCAAAATGCTCCACCCAATAACAATGGTGCACCTGCGAGCAATGGTAAATATTTGACAAACATATTTGGTCAAACATTACTTGTGACGTCATTTAAAAACATGCTACGTTTTAGGTACAAATAACGGAGGTAATGGTAATGGAGCTAATAATCCATCTAATCCATCTGCCAATTCAAATGGATCATCTGTAACCAATGGCAACGGAAACAATGGGAACAGCACATCATCTGCTAAGATTGAACAGCTTAACTCTATGAGAGAGGCTTTATTTAGCCAAGATGGCTGGGGTGGGGTAAGTATATCAATTTTTATGTCCACTAATGTTACTGCATTTGGATAAGCAATTTACATTTCTAGGCAGTGTGGGATTTATAAAAAACAACCATAATTCAACCTTGACTTGTTTTTTTTACGGTCAAACTGGTTTTTGTTTGTTTATATCAGTACCTCCACTTAACATATCATTGCTTGCAACAATGTATTTTTAAAGTATCAATAACATACATAAAGTAATCTGTTTTATTATACAAAATGCATATAACTGAAAAGCTGAGCAGATAAGAAGCAAAGTTGAAACATTATTGATGTGTTATTATTTTCCAGCAACATGTAAACCAAGATACCAACTGGGATGTCCCTGGATCTCCAGAGCCAGGGTCAAAAGTAGAACCTGCTGCCGGTGGACCACCACCATGGAAGCCCAACATTAACAATGGTGCATTCCTCGGAACGGACTTGTGGGAAGCCAACTTAAGGAATGGAGGGCAACCTCCACCACAACCTGCCTCTAAGACCCCATGGGGACACACTCCGACAACCAACATTGGTGGTACTTGGGGTGAAGATGATGATGCTGCTGATTCTGCCAATGTGTGGACTGGACCTCCACCGCAGCAGCAGTGGCCGGCTGGGCCTCCGCAACATGCACAACAATGGGGGGTTCCGAAGAAAGATGATTGGAATGCTTGGGGCGAGCCACATAGACCTACTGATCCTAGATTGGATCATCGTTCCCAAGATCCTAGACAACAAGCCTCTGATCCGAGACATGATCTCCGTGGGGGGATTTCGGGCAGACTTAACGGTGACATGTGGAGTCAGCATCACCAACATACAGGTGGTCCTAACAAGATGATGTCATCGGCAGGTGTCAACCAGTGGGGCTCACAGGTAATTAGATGAAAATTTATGGCTTTATTAATTTTTATTTGCTGGCTTAGGTAGACCATAAGATGTTCTTTGTTCTTTTTTATTGCCTTCTTTTCGTATAATTTTAACAGATTATGATGACCACTAACATCAGTTGAGTCAATTGGTCTGAAAAAAAAAATATCTTGAGTCAATAAAGACAATGGTTATGTCTTGTATTGATGTAGTGTTTTGTTGTCTTGTTTTACAATGCATGTACAAATAATAGGTTTTAATTATGTGTTACTAATATATTTTTAATAATGACTGATTAATGTGATTATGAGCTGTGAGTTAACATTTATTGATGATTAATATAATGAACATGATAGTTCTTGTTTTGCAAATTGCATTTTAATTTCTAATTTAATTTGTGGTTCAATGTATGGAGTATTATTTTTTTTTAGCATTCAAAACTGTTTAATTTTCATCATATTCAAACATGGATTTATTTTTATAGCACTAAAGCAGTTCTTAGTTAATGCTTTGTCTTCAGAGATAAAATAATATTAAGTCTCTGTATGGTAAAGTTGTATGTTTTGGAAATATTATTTTTCTCAGATATGAATATCTGAGAAAGCTATTTCTTTGAAAAACATCTAGAACTCATGTTTCACACATGTTTTTCTATAGCAATCAAAACATCATAAATCAACATATAAAAATGCCATTAATAATTCTATTGTTTGCTAACATTAGGAATAGAAATCAAATCGCTTGAGTATTATGAAACTTTGGTTTTGCACCCACTGTGCCTGGGAAGAAAATTTATTACCACATAGATTTTTTATTATTTTCATATGTTAACTTTTGATTTCTTTATGCTAGGGTCCTAAGGATCCAATCAAGTCGTCAGGATGGGAGGAACCTTCCCCGCCAGCTACTCGCCGTGGATTCGACGATGGTACATCACTTTGGGCACAGCGAGGCAGCATAGGCGGCATGCAGGGCCGCGGCGCG